CGCGTGCGCCCCCAACGCACAGGTGTCTTCCGACCCGGCCGCCTCCCCCCCGAACTGCCGGTGGGAGTTTGCACTTGTGTCTGCGGATCTGCCCCCGGACGCCAGGGCCCCGGGGCCTCAGGGACCCCAGGGACCGGAGGGTGGCAGGTGGCCGTCGTTTCTGTGGCCCTCATTCCTCTTGCCCCGTCCCCCGCTCTCCCTCCTCCTCGCCTGTCCTCTCTCTTGTCGTCTTCCAGGAAGTAGGGTCCACGGATGAAATCACTCAAAACGACGCTGCCATCGGAAAAGGGAGAAGGGGGGAAGATGTTGTGTGTGGGGTTTACAGAAAAGCTGTTTCATCCCTGAACTAATTAAACATTAATATACACAGTTTCAAAATGTGAAATGTGACACTCTGCTGGGCTTCCTATAAAGCAACTTAATGAAGTTCTTTCACGGCGAACCGAGTGCGCGTGCCGGGCCGCGGCAGGCGGCCGGCCGCTCCGGTTAGGTTGAGGGTGAGAAATAAAATCGGCGCTCCGTGTCCCAGTGGCATCTTCGCACTCGGTGTTACCGCGACCGGCTTTCAGGAAGATTTCATAGCGACGACCCCCTGGGAGTGGGTCCGGGGCAGCGAGCAGCTGGCCTTGAGGCAGAGAGATGGGATTTCAGCTACTTGCCCCCAGTTCCTCCCTCCATCCCTGTGTTTACTCTCCCCACCCACGTGCACGACCTTACTGTCCCTGTGTGCCCGGGGGTGGTTCTGGGCCCTGGACCTACGACCGTGAACGGGGGCACGTCACAGGGGCGGGACCCGCAGGCTCAACCAGGAAAACAGGCAGAAAAGGCGCTCGCATCGGGGCAGCCCCGGCGGGTGTCCTTCCTGTGGCTCTGACAGTGGATGGTGTCACACAGAGCCGCTTCCTGCCCCCAGCACAGTCCCGTTCCCTGTCCGGTCACCGCCCCCGCCCCCCGCCCCCCCCCCCCCCCCCCAGCCCTGACCTCTCTCGCGGGCCCCGCAGGTTTGCCTTGTGCAGAATGTCAGGGTCGGAGTCTCACAGTGTGTGGTCTTTTCGCACTGGCTTCTTTCAAAAATGTCAAAATTAATATAAATCCTTTCCAGGGCCACGGAGTTGCCTAAGATGTGAACGTGTCCCTTCCTCTCACGCGTGTTTAAGTCTGTGGCACCAAACTCAGATGAGATGTTTTTCTCAAGGCGTTACTGAGGTTCACTGTGCACTTTAAAAAAAAAAAAAAATTGACACCTGGCTCATTTTCAGGTGGAACCGGTGGTGTCAGGTTCTAACAGTCACCCCCGGGGAGTTCGAGGATGCAGTTTCCACATGAGCCCGTCCCCTCCCGCTGTGGACCAGAACTGGCATTGTTTTTGTTACTTTGTTTTAGAAGAGGAAGTAACAGTAACTCTAGGTGGACTTGGAGCATTCTTAAGCAATAAACGGGGAGGCCAGTGACCAGGCAAGACGACGCACAGGCCACACGTGGAGTGAAGGTCAGCCACGACCTCGCTTCGAGCGCTGCTCACGGTGACCCCGCTGCTTTCCTGTGCAAACTCAGAGGCCGCGGGGGAGGCGGCGCACAGAACCCGGATGCAGAAACACGACCTCGCTGACGCAGCCGATGGTGCGTGGGCCAGACATTCGCTAAGCTCCTAATTGTTCCTGGGCGCTCGCCCAAGGACTGTACCTGGAACGGAGAGAAGGCCCACGTGCCATGGCTGCTCACTTGCCCGTGAGCCACTGCAGCAGAGGGTGAGACGGGCCGGCACAGGGCCCGCGGACATCGCTGGGCCGTCGGGCCCCGAACGGCGCGGGCCAGGGAAGCGCTGCAGAGAAGTGGCTTTCACGAGGCAGCCCGAGGAGCGACAGGGACGTAGCCTAGCAGATGGGGGGTGGGGGGGTGGGGGGGGAGGTACCCAGTGCAGGCACGAAGGAGGCAGCTTTAATCAGGAATTAGCAACAAGCTCACCGCCTGCTCTTTGCTGTCCCCGGAGCTCAGCTGTGAAAAACACAAGCTCGTAGAGATACAATTTCCGAGTGACTTCCAGAAAGGTGTGACCTGTAATCCTGTTAAGGAACAGAGTCTCTGGCGGTGTCTAGGGTACCTTGATTTTTGAGGAAGAGAGGCTTTTCAGGTTGAGCCACACAAAACCGCTGCGTGGGCCGGCGCCGCCGGGCCCAGGCCGGCAGCCTCACAGGGTTTGGCACAGCTCAAGCCCCGCCTGCCGAAGCGCGCGGCTCCTTCCGCCCCGAGCGTGGCCGTGCCGTCGCTGTGGCAGATGCCTAGGAGCACGGGTTGCCCGCGTGGGTCTGGCAGGCTCCTGCCCAGAGGCTGAAGGGGACGCAGCGTGGATTCCACGCCAGCCGTGTTAGAACTGGACGGGCCTCCCACGCTCTGGGCCGTGCCCTCATCGCACGGGTGCTCCGGAGACCCCGAGGGGTCCGGCGCAGCGGCGCCCGGGCCCGTCCCCTCCGGCTGAGCTCTTGCCTTGTCCGCTGGCCACACGCAGCTGCCCGGAGGGCCCCGCCCCAGGCGGACTAGTGCCTGGGAAGAGGTGCTCCCGTGGGCCTTTGAGCAGGTCTGTGCCATGAGCCTCAGCACTTGGCTGCTTTTTGTGAAGAAGAGCTGGAGATAATTACATGGCTGCTGTTGAGAAGGGCCTGGCCTAATGGGGGGCGTGGCCTTGAACGCCAGTGGTCCTGGAGCTGGTAATGTCCACTTCTAAAGCCCCTTCCGGTGGTTTTTGAATTACGCAATTTCTGCCCGTGTGTTGCTACCGGAGCGTGAGTAAGGCCGCTGCAAACCTCAGGTCTGGGATGGCTGCCCTTTGCCCGAGGACGGGCATGTTCAGGGAGGAAGAGAGAAGCTGCTTCAGGGACACTGGCGCCGACGTGGCCTTCGCAGAGGGCGGGATCGAGGACTGACACCTGTTTCCCTTGGTGCTGGGGTTCCAGGGACCTGCGGTGTGTGCCTGGCACCCTGGACCCGACATGATGTGGTCTGGTCCCCTCAGCCATTTCTGGAGGGCTCCACTCGGCACCCCCGCTCCCCAAGGCCTTTCCTCGCCACCTCCCTGTCTCCCCTGGGGGGAGGGCGTGCTGCCCACTGACTCGCCGCGGCCTGTCTTCATCGCTCTTGGCCCCTGAGTCCTCCGTCACTCCCTGTGCCCCGTGTGTCCTCAGGTGTAGGCGCGTCACGGGCGGAATAGGGACACGGCCCCAAGCCGCGAGCTGAGGCGCCCATTCCCGTTTCTGACCTCAGCCTGCCCAGCCGTGTTCCTGGGTCTGTGTGATGCCGCACACCCTTACCGCCTGTCTAACCCGCAGTGACCGGTCCTTCTAACCCGAGAAGAGCGAGCCTTAGCCTGAACTCCGTAACCCCCGAAGGGCGGCATGACCGCCACGGACATTCGAAAGCATTATTTTGTTTGGATCTTACATATTCGCGTGCCCAGCTCCCAGGCATGGCAAGCGATACTGGTTTTGACTTCATGTTAGTAGCATTTTTTATTTCATTGTTTTTTGCATTACATTTTTGAAAACGAGTACATTACCAGTCACGCACTGCTTAACTCCAGAGGCACATTCGGAGAAATACGCCGTTGGGGGATTTCACAGCTGGGCGAACAGGAGCGACTTACGCCAGCCCGCACGGCAGGGCGGCGACAGCCGCTGCTGGGGCTCCCCCGTCGCAGCACGGGCTGCCCCCGGTGTGTTTACATGGGCGGCACCACAGGCCCGGAGCAGCTTAGCTGGACCCAGCAGCTGGCTGGCCTCCCGCACGTGGCGCGAGGGCAGGGCTTGAGCTTTAGCTGGGGAGCCTCCACTTCAAAGACGCGCCGGCTGTCTGGAATAGACACCTTGCGACCAGGGGACCAGATAAAGCCGGGGGTCCCCAACCTCCAGACTGCGGACCCGTCCCCGGGCAGGGCCTGTTCGGAGCTGGGCGCACAGCAGGCGGCGAGCTTGCGTGTAACCCGCTTGAGTCCTCCTGAAACCAGCCCTCCCCCAGTCCTTGGGGACTGTCTTCCACGGCCGGTCCGCAGTGCCACAGAGGTTGGGGACCCCCGAGGTAAAGAGTCAGGCTGCGCCCACGGAGGCTCTTCTGCTGCACACCTTTGTTCATCTCTATGACCGACCACTGGGGCCGCACGGTTTCTCTTCCTGTGCTTTAAATTCCCTCTTACGTTTTAATTCACCAATAACGAGCGGGCCGAGACCCTGGGCTCGCGCCCTGGGCCCGGGAAAAGCAGAGCCCAGGCGCTGCGCTGCACGATCAACTCGTCGTCCTTCCAGGTTCCCAGTGCTTATCCCTGAGGGCACCTGGCAATCACGGTGAAAACCTCCCAGGCCGGTCCTGCTGTCAGGGGCTCAGAAGGGGGAGCGCGCCTGCCCTGGGGCGCGCCCTGGGCAGCTCCCGCCGGTGGCGTCGCTGTGCGCGGGCTGAGCCGGCCCAGGACATTGATGCGTTGCCCTGTGACGTTGCGACAGGAGCACGTTAGACACGACAGCATCACAACATCACTGCAGTGGGATGCGACACCGTTACAGTGTTACAACGTCGCATCACAGCGTTATGACGTCACAACATCATGGCATCACCATGGTACGGACGTCCTAACATGACGGCAAGACTACACATGACGTCACAACATTACGACGCGACTACCTTACGACATCACAGCATTACGACATGACTGCGCTACGACGCTACAGCGCTACGGCAACATTACGTGACGGACGTCACTACATTATGACAGCACCCCACGGCAACAGCCCCACGTGACGACAGCCCCACGTTACCCTGCGGCAGCACTGACGTCACGCCGCACGCCATCCCTCGGCGACCTCCCGGAAGTGCAGCCGCCCCGCCGTCGTGGGTTGTGGCTTCGGCCCAGGGGTGCGCGCGGGTCCCGCGGGGCGAGATGACGTTGCAGGACGCTGGGACGGCGCCGGGGCCGCCCTCCGCGGCGCTCACTAACGCCTGCCCTCCGTTCCCGACAGTGACCCAGGGCCGCGGCCTCCTGGAGAGCGTCCAGCGGTTCTCCCTGCTGCCCACCTACCTGCCGGTGACCTATCGCGTGCACGGCGCCGACGCGTCTTTCTTCCTGAAGGAGGCCAACCAGGACGTGATGCGCAACGCCAGCCTGCAGTCCCGCGTGGAGTCCTTCCTCATCCACCGGGCCCGGCGGCCGCCCGTGCTCAGTGCCAGCTACGGCCCCTTCTCGGCGCGGCAGGCGGTGCCCCAGGACCTGCTGCTGCCGGCCGGCTCCCTGGGTGCCCCTGGCGCGCCCGCGCTTGGCTGGGTGCTGAAGGCCCACGTGCTGCGTGACCACATCTACCCGTCCCGGCCCACCGTACAGGTCCTGTTCCACATCGTGGGCCGCGACTGGGCCGAGCGCAGCCCCGCGGAGCAGCTGCCCTGCTTGCGCGTCTTCGCCTTCCGGGAGACCCGGGTGGTGCGCGGCGGCTGCCGGCTGCGCGGCGAGCTGGCGCTGTGCGTGGCCGAGCTGCGGCTGCTGGCCAGCTGGTTCAGCGCCCCCGCAGTGGTGGCCGGCCGGCGGAGGCCCGTGGACCCGGCCGAGGGCAGCGCCGTGGAGCTGTACTACGCCGTGCACGCGGGCGACGAGCGCGGAGACTGCGCCCGGGGGGTGTCGCGCGCCGGCGGCGGCGGCGGCAGCGGGGCGCGCACAGGCACTGGCGACGCGGACGAGGCGGGGCCCCCACTGCAGAGGATTGGGAGCGTGTTCCTCCACCAGGCGCACAACCGGCCGCCGCTGCGGGAGCTGCGTTTGGACGACAACGTGGCCATCCACTACCTGCCGCAGACGGCGCGCCGGGGCGACGTGCTCACCTTCCCCGTGTCCGTCTCCAGGAACTGCACAGAGGACCACTTCACCTTGAGGTGAGTCCCTTCGGGAGTCTGCTCCCACTGGGGCAGGCGCGCGTGTCCGGTGGGCTGTGGGCATGCCCGCCGGCTGATAATTGCCCTGTGCTCCCCGGCCTCGCTCCTCATTGCAGATGCCGAGCGGTGCGGCCCGTCCGGGTGGGGCGTGGGGCGTTGAAGGTGTCTGTGACTCGACTGTCTAGGCTGCCGCACGGCAGCCGGGGGACGCGGACATGACGCCTCTGGCGAGGCCTGGGGTGCCCCGGGGCCCGGGACAGGCAGGCTAATGTGCCAGCGGGGCCCTTGCATGGCCGGAGTCCAGTGGCCGACAGGCGACCCACCGAGTGTGGTGCGGGAGGGAGGATCGGCTCTGGTCTCAGCGTCCAGTCCGAGCCCATGCGCCCAAGTCCAGGACGCGCCAACCCCGGTGACACTTGCACTTCTCTCAGGAATTCGCGCCGCGGGTGACACAGGAGTACGAATGTGTCAGCTGCTGCAGCTGGAGTGTTGAGGGCCGCACGTGGGAATGAGCCCGGGACCTGGTGTTTAACGGGGAGGCCCTGCAGCTCAGAGGAAATTATGCGTTACTTCTGTTTCTTTGGAATTTGGAATGTGAAAGATGCTATTTGCCTTGGCCTCATTACATTCTCTTTAAGTCCATATTTGAAGCCCAGGCAGGTTGGATTACTGCAGCCATTTGGCAGAACTGTTTGGGTCACGAAGCCCGTGGTGCCGTAACTCAGCAGCTTGGTCTGAAGGGCCCGTGGTGACGTTCGTGTCCTGACCCGTGGGACCAGGGGTGCTGGGGACACGGCAGGCTTACTGCGTGGCTTTCAGAGTCCGCCCCACCGCGACAGGTGTTGCTGGCCCTCTCCGCCGAGCCCAGTGCGCGTCTTTGTTCTCATCGGGGCGCCGCGAGCTCGGACAGGCACCCTTCCCCTGCTCGTGCGCCCTGCACGTCGAGGTCTGTGGCTGTGACTGAGGGCGCGGAGCCGCCTTTTCGCCCGGCTGTGCTGGCTGGACGCGGCTCGTGCTGGGCGGGGAGTGCCCTGGTGTGGGTGCGGAGGGCACCGGGGGCCGAGCCCAGGCGTGTAGGGTGGAGAACGGGTCTGTGGCCGGTGGCCTCCTCGTGCCCCTTTATCCCTTGGACGTCTAGCCTCGATCAGCGGGCCGTGGGCCTCTGCTAGGTCTGCTGGCTTCGGGCTTCGCGTTGCCAGTGTCCGTGGTCTTACAGAATGTCCTTTGTGGGGGTCAAAGCTCATGAAGAGGAGCAACTGCTGATAGGAAGTGAAGTTTGAATGAGGGTGTTTCCTTCTTACGGGGTCTCTGCTCTTTGATGCTCACCTTGCCGCCTCCCGGCTGGGCCCTTCGATTTCCACGAAGCCCGAGGCTTTCGCTCTGCCGAGCTGACCCCACAGTTGCCTCCCGCAAGTCGTGTCTGTGTGTGTGTGTGTGTTGCTAACGTCGCCAAGTGCTTTGTGTCTGACAGCCGTCTGATGCACCCGGGGGTGCCCCTCAGAGCCTCGAGGGCAGCTCTGTCACTGGCAGGCCGAGGCAAAGCCGGGAGACGAACTCGCTGGGCCCCATAATGCAAGGGGTCCCACTGTGTTGTGAATTCAGAAACAAACGCAGGCGAAGCCTTTAGACGTGAAACTGGAACGTTTTGAGTATATAGCAAAACTTTATTTGCTCAGAGTCCACTTAGACATTTGTGGAGAAGAAAAATTTGTTTCCAGTTTAGACGCTAGTAAGCGTTCCCGGAGTGTGTCTAGCTGGGTGGGGCGGTGCACCCCGCTTCTTTGGAAGCTGGCACTGGCAACTCACTCCCCGCATTGATAAAGGCGGCTCATTGCGCAGGGGGGCAGGGCTTATCTGTTTGTGAAAACAGCTGGCGGCAAACCTGGCTCCTGCAACATGATTAGCCTTTAGCCTGGATTCTCGTAATTAGAAAATAATAAAACCGTGGATCTTTTTTAATGGAGTCAGCGCGACACTAATGGAGCACAGCTTCCCGGTTCTGGCGAGGGTGGGCGGCCGCTGCAGCTGCCCTCTGCCGGGAGCGCTCCCCCAGGGCCCGCCCTGCCCCGGCCCCTCCGGCCCCTCAGTGCCTCCCTCCGAGCGCGACCTGAGTCTCCCAACGCCGCCTGCGACGGGGAGAGCGCTGCCCAGGGGCGGCTCCCACTTGACCTCGAGACTGGCCCTGCCTCGGGCCCTTCCCCATCGTGGCCGGCCCCCTCCCCCCTTCTCCCGCCCCCGCCGCCCCCCTCCCAACTTCTGGGCCTGCAACCGCGGGGCAACCCCACGGCCCGCACAGGGGCCGCACGCTGTGGTGGATGCTGTCCGCGAGGGCGGTTTAAAAGCCCTGCCCTGCGTGTGCACACGGGTGTGCACACGGGTGTGCACACGTGCGCACGAACCTTCGAGGAGGAAACGCAGACGGGGCTGTTGTCATCTTCCAAACGCGCTCCCGCGGGCCGCGTCCTCCGGAGCAGCCCCCACGGAAGGAGAGGCGCAGCGCTTCCACGCCTCGCCCACCGGCAAGCGGCTTTTAGCTTCCTGAAGTGTTTTCCTTCGAGGGAGCTGCTGAACCCCCGGGCCCGTGGGGCTTTCTTCCTGGTCCTGCTCCTTCCCCCGCAGAGAGCCCGTTCCAGGGGCCCCGCCCGCAGCCCCTGTCACCCAGCGGAAGCAAAGGCCAAGGCCCGCAGCTCTTCCGCAGCCTCTCTGTCCCCACTGTTACACAGGCGCTCAGCTTGCCCCGTGCGCGTGTGAGGCGGGGCCCAGGGCTTGCGGCTCCCCGCTCCCCAGCCCCCGCAGGACAGGTGGGCAGGGGCAGGGCAGCACCCGCCCGGGCAGCATCCTCCCGGGCAGCGCTGCCCTGCAAGCCAGGGAGAGCCTTGCATGGATGAGTGAGTGGGCGGCGAGTGGGCAGGGTAGTCGCAGGCGTGCACGCTCCAGGGAGGCCGCCATGCGTGAGTGCCCAGTGCGCGTGGCTTTGTGAAGAACGCGGCACCTAGCGCTGCGGCCGGCCCGAAGGCCGTCTCTGAATAAGGGTCCCTGAACCTCAGCCCTCCTGACACCTGGGACCGGGTCGCGCCGTGTGTTCTCTGGGGATGCGCCGTCTCAGTCTTGCAGGGCGTTCAGCAGCACGCGGGCCTCTCCCTGCTGCAGGCAGCCGGCCCTGGCGGGGAGGCTGTTCCCAGCAGCGGTGTCCAGGGCTGCCGGCCCCCAGAGAGGCAGGGAGGGGCTGCCCCCCAGCCCTGCGGCTTCTCCTCCAGGGGGCCCAGCCCGTCCCACAGACAGCAGCCGGAGGCCGGGCGCTTTGCCACGGAATGCAGGGACTGACTTTTTTACCCCCCGACTGCTGGACGGCCCTCCTGGGGGGCAGCAGGAGCAGCGTGCAGACTTCATGCCACGGGAGCCCGTCCCCCGGCTGTGGTCGGTGGGACCAGGGGTTGGGACCGACAGAAGCCGACAAAATGCAGACCCCACGAAGCATCTGACCCTCGACACGCCAGCCCCCGGGGCGGCTCTCGGGGCAGGTGGCCGCAGCCCAGTCCACCGGGCCTCGTCTGCCGCAGGGGACAGGACAGCACGCGGGGGGCGGGGCGGAGGCTCTGGTGCAGGGTGGCAGGCTGCTCCCTGCCGCTCCCAGCGCGGCGCATTGGCGGAACACCCGAGCTGCTGCGTGCGCCTCTCCGGAGGCCCGTGCGCCCTGGGGGCGGGGGCGGCCCGCCCCTGTCCCACTCTGCCCCTGCGGCGTTGCTCCGTCACCCCGGTGACTTGGGCTTGGGTCTTCCTTCACAGTCCGCACTCAGCTCGCCCTTCTCCTCACTGGTGCCCTGGCTTCTTCCCGGGAGGCGCGACGTTCGCGTCCGCTTTCTGGGAACGGAGGTGGTGACCCTGAGCCACAGGCCCTGGATTCCTCGGGGCTGGTCGGTCGGCACGCACGCCTGCCAGACCCCGTGGCCTGGCCTCCGGGGCCCCTCCCGCCCCTTCATCCTGGACTCACAGGCCTCAGCAAAGCCTGGGCTTTGACCTAAGCCCAGGCACCGTCTTCTCCCTTGCTGAAAATTGTTCCTCCTCTGAAGACTGAGAGAGCACTGTGAAATAAATGCAGCGCGAATCAGTCTCTGAAATAGCTATTATTTTTTTAGAGCTGAATTTCATTTGGTAAGAAAATGGTTATAATGGAAACCTGCTCCGCTCTGCTATATACCATAATATTGCAGAAGGCATTTACCATAATTTACGAAAAGGCATTTCTGTTCTTACGACTAATTGCACGGAATTGAACAGAGAGGAACGTGCTGTTTTGTTTTCACCTACCTTCGTTTCACCGGCAGAGGAAGAAAATGTGGCTGTTTCTCGTGTCACAAAACAGCTTTCCAAGCTGCGGAGTCCCGGGCGCCCCGTGGGTGCGGGGCCAGCACGAGCGCTCACTTGCCTGGGAGAGTTCGCGGTCGTTGGAGTGTGAGGAGGTGACCTGCACGTCCTGTCACACGTTTTGGGGAGTTTTCTGTTGACAGGCAGCGCAACACAGCAGTTCTGGGGGGCGGGGCTTCTCGATGAGAAGGCGCATCTGTCTGTCTGTCGCCCCAGACCCGATGGCCTAAACAGCTGTTCAGCCTGTTGGTTACTCTCCGCGTCAGCTGCTTGGGCACGGCCCTGCCGGAGTCCGAGCTGCGGTGGCGGCTCCCAAGCTGCCCCGTGCAGACCGTGGGCCGCTCCGTCCCTCCCGGCCGCTCTGCCTCCGTCCCCTGTGGCCGGGGCGAGCTTCTCCCAGCGGGGGCTCAGTGCAGTCGCTCATGGGGCAGAGCGGCTGGCTCCCGCAGACAAGGGTTTCCGGGAACCAGGCTGAAGCTGGAGCCCCGTGGGAGGGAGCTACCGGAGCCGCGGAAGCCAGCGCACCCCGCCCCCCACTCCGCACTCCGCGGGCAACCCCATTCCCGAGGGCAGCGGGCAGCGGGAACTTGGCTTGCCTTGTGGTGGGAGGAGTAGTGACAACTTTGCGGCCACAG